GCAGCTTCACAGATTCTGGCACGGACAGTGGGTCTGGAGATGACTTTGGCTTGAGGTTGTAATGTGGTAACCAATTCTTTGAAAGATGGCTGTTCTACCACCGCAAATGGCTGTAGACCCTCACATATGAAATTGATGACAAGCTTGTCAACAGTTGCTTGTGGAACATGTTTGTTTGCAGTTCTCAACATCAGGTCTGGTAACTTGGCTTGCGTATTTGCTGAGAGCTTGTTTGGTGTGGCTGTGGTCTTTCGCTGTCGAGATGTTGATGCCACAGTGATATTGTACTGCTCAATCTTCGATGGATGTTTCCTCTGTAGAGATAAATATTATCATACGTCAGGTTCATACATTACTTCATAACATCACTGTGATTAACACTAAAGGAAAACACGTTTTTAAAACATTATTCAACTAGACTTGAGCTAATCTTTGATTGTTGAGCATAGTATAAAAGAGTGGTGAATTGGTCAAATTTTGCAGATATATTGCTGTATTTATTCACAAGTGTAAACCAATTTTGAACGATCATTGCAAAAAACATGAATTTCTGTATACATTCTAAGTTCTGTAATATGTATACTATCTGTAAAAAGAGTATCGACCAATGTATCAGTATCTAAATTTTTAACTCCTTTTTATCAGTATCACCCTAAAGTTTTCAGTATTAGTCAGGTCCTAAAAATACTAAGAGAGCAAAATATGTGTATCTAGCAATCTAATTTAAGAAAAGGGATCACATACACAAAAATGCTGCCATACAGCTAACAATAAAACAATCCACATTATGTTCTTTAAAAAAAGATATCATATTGGGAAACATATAACCCTACTGATTAAGAGCCATGTCACTATGATAGACCTATATCAGGCCAATGATACTGATCAACTGATCCATCAATCGGGCTCTGGTACATGTCAGCTGAGAGCTGGAAGATTAATTTGAGATGCAGCTCAGCACTGTGTTCAAGTTTTAGTTGTTTTTTTTTAAATATAGGGCAGCTGATTGTAGGCCTGTGAGTTTTAAATGACTACAAGTTTAATTTATTGTAATGACGGTGGTTATCCAAATAATAAGCTAAAACATTCCTACGAATTTAGCTCAATTATGCATGCACACACAAGCACATTAGCTAGCTCCGTCTTATTTTAATATCAGGCTAACCAATGGCGGTGACAATATCTTAGCCAAACTAGTAACCTTAACACACATGAAAAATAAGAAAGTAATATCATACACGTATAGTTGTAAAACCTCTTACCTCAATGTGTTTTTTTAGATTAGACGCTGAAGTCTTGTAAGCTGAAATGACTGTAGAGGTCAAACAAAGTTTGCACTGCATCTGGACGCTGTCTCCTTTTCTCCCTCTGTACACGAAAAATTCCTCCAGGTACGGCCACGGGCACGCGTCCTCCGTCTTTTCTACGTCGTTTTCATGGTTGACAGTGTTTCTCTGTCTCCATTTTGGCTTCTTTGTCTCAAATCTTCCGTCTATAAAGTAGTTTATACTCCACCATTTAGCACCTCTAGACACCTGTGCCTGCTGCTGCAGCGGAGTTTATTCTTTGCTTACGTCTTAAATTGGCGCGGTCTCGATTGCACGGCGTTATTGGCTGCAAAAATGCAGACGAAAGGTTTGAATATTAAGTCAAATTGTGGGCGTACTCAGTAGTGACTTTTGATTTTATAAGTAGCGAAGTAGATTACATGGTGTAAGTTGTACTCAAGTATGAGTAAAATTACACACTTGAAAAATTACTCGTAAAAGTACAAGTACCCAAAAAATTTACTTAATTACAGTAACGTGAGTATTTGTAATTCGTTACTTCCACCCCTGGTCTTGATTATTAAATGTATCTGTCTGTACATATGCATATTTAGATTGTTAAAATACATTCACAAATGTATCATGATTTCACAAATATCTGTCCGTTATTTGAAAGATTGAACTGTTGAATTCAAATGTAATGCTATGGAAAAGTATATAACATGATCCCTATGAGCTTGTGTTACATCACATAAGTATTATTATCGTTGCTAGTTAGGTCGTTCGTGGCTCAAGAGTTGGCAGTTCGCCTTGTGATCCGAAGATTGCCGGTTCGCGCCCCGGCTCGGACACTCTCTGTCGTTGTGTCCGTGGTCAGGACTCTTCACCTACCGCCTACTAGTGATGGCCAAAGGGGCCGATGGTGCGATATGGCAGCCTCGCCTCTGTCCCAGGGCATGCAATCAATTGTTATTTAAATTAACTGTATATTTCTGTACATTTACGTATTATGATTCATATTGCCACATTCAGTGACCTTGTTTATAGGTAATTTCATTGTTTGATCACGTAAAAATGTTCCTAATTTAATGTCTAAAAGCACTTGGAAAAGGCAGAATCCCATGTCAAATTAGCGCAACAAACTCTATTTTCATTACTGAAAATGACCGTATTTTTATGGGACAGTTATTTTCTGTTATTTCATGGTCGTATTTTGGCGCCCCAGCTGCCGGAATATTACTGTTGTTTTAGGATGTTTTTTTTTTAACAGTGATAGGGTAGTTGAGTCTTTGCACTTTTGTTCCATGCTACGCACAAGACCTTTTGATGCAGGCAACTGCAAGCGACAAATAAAGGCATTCATTCATTCATCTCTGCTTAGCATTTTGTTACATTTCATGATGCTGGGGAAAACTGAGTGTCCCCATCTCCACTTCTTCCATTAAATAAATGGCAGATACCAGACACAAGAGTTTCCTCTGTTTAGGGTAAATCTAATTGGATGTGAATGGATTACTTTGTGCTATGCAGCCTTCCTTTGTGATATATTCTGATTTATACCGTTCTACTCACATACCGCAGAGGAGGTCACATATCTATGAAGCCAGTATCTGAGCAAAGTGAAGGCTATATTTAATCCTTCTGACAGGGATATTCCCATCTCCTTTTTGCTATATTTTATATTTTACGGCCTCATCTACATTGTCAGTGCTCAGGGATTTGCATAAACCAGCTTGCATAGGCAAGCAGTTGGAGGTCTAATGCATGATGTATTCTCTCACCTCTTTGGAAGGCTGTGATAAAACGTGCAACTGAAAATGGATAGGACAGGAAGGGAAAATGAAGAGGATATATTTGGGTGGCAGTGTGGTGCTGGGTTTCTCTCAGGAGAACGAAAAGCCATCAGTGGAGAATTTGAGAATGCACTGTTTTATGTCACATGAATATGCAGAACATTATGAGGTTCCCTATATCAGCATATTCCAGGAAGACAACTTTTCCCAAGGTAGATGATTTTGAGTCCGACACATTCTGGGGAATGACTTATTAGCTTTATGAGTGAAATTAAAAAGCACAGGTGAAGATGAGTAGCCACGAACCACAGAAATAGAAAAAACTGAGATTTACAGCAATCTTCAGCGTCACAGGAGCAGCAACAGACCAGCTGAGGCTTAACATTTGAATAAATCCAAGAAATGTGAATCCTATACCCCCCATAATGCAACAGCAGTCACTGCTTTTCTTTAGATGACTTTGCCAGATGTCTATTTAACGCTTGCTAAGAAGATACCACCCTCTCCCCCTAAATTTGGCTAAAAAGTGAAGGAAAATTGTTGCCTCCTCAACACCTCTGCAAACTCCTTTGACAATTTATGGATTAGAACTCGGAATCTTCTTGCTATGCAGCAGCAGTACTAACCATTGTGTCATCACTAGTATATGGGAACAGTATGTTTTGATTGTCCACGGGGCCATACAAATAATATCACCAGGCAACACACAATGAGAAGACCTACCATCCCAGGAGAGACAAGAGTTTTGTAGTTATGTAAGCACGTAAGTGGAACTCCCACATACATTTTCCCCAGAAATATTTATTAAATCACAGCATTTCTGTCTGTCTAACTAATTAAAAAAATTCTCAGCAGTAAGTGGGCATAATTTTATCCTCCAGTGCATTTGATCTGCCACTCATTTTTGAAAGTTCCAACTCCGAACCCAGTTTAAACTGATTTTAGCCCTGATGTTTATACAGTAGACCATTTTGACAACTGGTCAGCAGAAACTGGCTCAGTGGTTTACTGAACCGTTTTCTGAGGTTGAGTCGTTAATTCGGGCTCCATCATTCTTTATGATCAACATGCTTGATTTGGCTAAGAATTTACACCAAATGCCCTTCCTAATACAACACTCCCCATTTACCCTGGCTTAGGACTGGCACTAGGAGTTCACTGGCTTGTTGCCCTCCTGTTCTTGGGTTTATCAGAAGATGGATACACTGTAGTCATAAATGGATGGTTGGTGGTAAGAAGCTTGTCCAGAAAATTTCACCAAAAACTCAACATGGTGCTAAACTGGGTGACATCACTGTATTCATCTTTTATACACAGTGTATAATAGCAGTAGAACTTGTGCATTGTCAGAAACACTGGTGTTAAGGAAAGATATGCTGTTCAACATCATTACCTTTTAAAAGTCTAGAGACCTCAACTGTGGACTTGTAAGAAAAGTCCCCAAGTTCATATGTGAAAACTGATTGCTATTACACAGCTATAGCATTGCTTATACTACTCTATTAACGCCACTGTATAATTTAGTTCATCTTTATCAAACTATTAATCCTTAATTGGCAGAAAAGTATAACATAAAGAGAAACAGAAGTACGAGGATGCATTTTTAATTTGGTTCATTATCGATTTTATGTAAAAAAAAAACAAAACAAAAAAAACAAAAAACCTTTGTGCAGCAGAAGTAGGTTACCCCCTTTGTTTAGAGGCTACGGTGTCATCACGCGTCAGGACATGCACTCTGGCTTCTCTGAAATCACTTATATGTTAATTTACCTGCTCCACAGAAAATGTTGTCATAAGATCATTCTTCAGTATTATTCACAGTTTTAACTTTAACAATTGCTGTTTCATATCAGTTATACACAGATCTCTTTTTAAAGAAAAAAGGAAAGAAAGAGGAAAACAACAAAGATGGGATATTAGACCAAAGCTAATATCCCACAGCTTACCAGAGTCACACCGACCCCTCTGGATTAAAAACACTGGGGAGGTCTCTCCGAGCTCGGCTCTCCTGTTCTCGGCTCTCAGGCGGCAGATGCTGGGGTACGTCCTGCCGTCGCTGCCACACACCGGGCCGGAGGAGGCACACATGCACAGGCTGTGCAACCCTCCGGCTTTCCCCGGGCCTGAGTCGCACCGCAGCCCGTTACCGCAGGACAGGTGGCCGCTGCTGCGCTTCCCGCACGCTTCACCTTCCCCGGCCGCACACACCACGCAGCAGCCGCAGGCGTCCTTTACCTGGCGTGCGGTGGGGCAGGACACTGAGAGGTGGCACACACCTGTAGGCAGGTTTGTCTTTCTCTTAGCAGGCCTGTATGGACTGCAGAGAACACAAGCGTGAGGTCAGCGAGGCTCTTCATCGTGTGAAGAATCAGTTTGCAGCAGTCTCTGTGCTCTTAAAGAGGCTGCAGGTGTAATGCACCTAAACGGAGCTGGTCTTCTTACAGCCCCCAACACTGATGGCAGTGAGGTTCGAGTTGCAGCATGTTGCTCCTGGCTTCTACTTCGTATTGCTGCATGCTGTATCACATTAAAGGACAATGGAATGCAGCTGCAGCACGGTTCATGGTACATGTACGCGGCTTTTGTGTGAGAAAGCAAGGGTGGTGTAGGGCCTCCAATTAATGGAGATAAAAATGCATATGATGATAAATGGTTTTTGTCTTTAGTCTGTGGTGTATAATTAGAGTGCAGGATTTTAATACTGCAGCGAGCCAGAAGGCCGAACAGATCAGAACTCACAATTACAAGTAAATGCATCATTTAATCATTTGTTTTATCACTTGTCACACTTTCCATGTCAATGTGTGTATCCTGGGAATTTTTAACAGTGAACATTAAACTGCAGCATGTGGACGCTTTAAGGCTATAGTCCCCAAAATTTGTGTATTTTTTAAAAATGGATTTTTCTTAAGGTCCACATGAAAAACACACAAAAGTAATGACATGCACAGTCAAAAGCACGCCAGAGCAACAGGTGGTGTAACCTTAGTCACTGTCTAAGTAAGTAATGTTTATTTATTGAGCGCTTTGCACAGACATAAAGTCAGAAAGCGGCGTACAACAAAGGTAAAAACTAGGAATAATCGCAAACACAGTTAATAGCAATACAAACAATGTTCAAATGAAATAACAACAATAAAAAATAAAAATAATAACCAGATAATAAAAAACAGATCAAGTAATGATAATAAAAGAATCTCAACAGAAGGCCAGAGTTCACAGAGTCAGTTGAATGTAGCAGGAGAAGTAGACTGATCCAAAGTCCCGGTGCCACAGACCTGTTTACCCCTAGTCTTTAAAATTTGTATGAGGAACAACTAATAGATTTTGAGCCCGTGAACAAAGGCTGCGGACAGCAGTGTATTAAACAAGCTTTTGAAATAAGCAGTCTGGATTGTGTCCATTTAGTGCTCTGTGTGTAAGTATGAGAATTTTAAAACAAATTCTGAGGTCAGTTGGAAGCCAGTGTAAAAATATTTAATAGGATTAATGTGAGCTTGAACACTAGAACATGTAAGAAGTCTGCATTTTCCACTTTCATTTTGAAAAATATCTCTGTCCACATAAAAACACAGAAAATTGAAACAAGAAGTCAAGAGCAACAGGTATCCGGTTGTTCAGTGATGACGCGACGAATCCTACTTCCGGGTCTAAAGTAGTCTGTGTTTAATATGGCATTTGTTTTGTTAACCTGTTTAATGTTATGTATTTTCTTCTATTTGATCTCAAAAAGCTCCTAAAACAGTCAGTGATCCCTGTTGACCTCCCTCGGCTTTTATTACTACTAATCACTTATTTAAGCTCAGTATTTAAAACCTTAGGATGTAACTACAGCCCAGCCCATGCAGCAGTATATGAATGACTAACCTCATATGTGGATGGATTATCTCAGTTGTTCTCCTGGCTGAAGTTTGGTACTTTTACAGCATCCTGCCATGCGATTACATTTGTTCCTGACCACCGAGAACACTCATGTTAACTTTTATCGAGTGGGAAAAAAAGTTAGCTTGTTTATATTATGCTAACATAGCTGTGTCGCTATGTGCTATGTGTAGCACATCATTATATACCAGCTAGCCCAACTTCAGTAACCCTACAAACGTCACTGCTGTTTAGTTTTCTGTCTTCATTTATGCTGGAAGTGATAACAGAGCTGTATGTTTTAATTTGTTTCCAAAAACCCCGCAGTCAGGACATGCATGCTATATTGTATTTAGATAGAAGCTAGCGAGCTAACTCCCTGCTAACTTCTAACTCCGTTAAATGTCATAAATTCCGTTTTCATGGATGCCTGGATGTTAAACTCAATTGTTACACCTGGTAGAGCAGAACGCTGATCATTTTATTAAAGATGAAAGACTTTAAACAGTTTTTCAACTCTCAGTAATGCCATAGTGATCGTTTGATATATGGACCTGCAGCGGAGTTTAGACCCAGACACGGCTAGTGACGTCAGACTGAACAATCGGATAGGTACAGGTATAACTTTCATCCATCCATTCTCTTCTATTTAGCCTTATCAGGCTTGTGGGGAGGACTGGAGCCTACCCCAGCTGCCACTGGGCTAGAGGTGGGGCACACCCTAAACAGATCACCAGTCTGATGCAGGGTCAGCACAGAGAGACAGAAACAGACAACCATTCACACTCACATTCACACCTATAGGCATATTAGAGTTACCAATAAACCTAACCCCACATGTCTTAAGACTGTGGGAGGAAGCCAGAACCCAAGTGGTTCCATTTTGAAGCCTGAAGATGAACATTTTTGCCATCCCCATCTTGGTGTTATGAAACTGAATGAGAGGTGGAGGGAGAGATTATGATTATGATTATGAGTTTGATTATGAGACTGCATGCTCATTGCTTACCGTCTTATGAGTGACAAGTCGGTAGGCCATCAGTATATCCTGGGTAATCCTTCTTTCTGACACTTTAGATGAACAAAATTTACAAAATGGGCTTAAAGCTTTAAATAACATTCCCTGCACTGAGCAACTGAGACCATAAGTGAGGAGCAAAGTGTTTATAGAGGTTAGAGAACCATTTTCCCATGTGCGTGCAACTACAGATAACGCCCCCTGCTGGCCTTTAAAAAGAATGCAGGTTTAAGACACATATTAGATTAGATTAGATAAAACTTTATTAATCCCTTGGGTGGGTTCCTCCAGGAAATTCAGTTTACACTAGCACAGCACCAACAGAAGTTCCATGTTACAGAGTTGGACTACCAAAAAATAAAATAGGGATAAATAGGATAAATAGGAATATCTGTAAAATATACCCATTGATGAGATGTAGACAGCCCAAGTCTATTGCACATTTCAACTATTGTAAATATATTGCACAGTGATTGTTGCACAGTCAAATATAAAAAAATATTGCACAGTGAAAAGCACTACAGTTTAGTTGTTCTCTCCCTCCTTTGTCCCCTCCCTTTCCCCTCCAGTGAGGAGTTAAACAGTAGACTTTGGAAGAAGCAACGCATGCTGAGCAGACTCCTCTGGCTGTTTATGACCATATGCAGTGGATGCCCAGTGTTGTCCATAATGTCCAGCAGTTTCTTTAATGTCCTCTTCTCTGCCACTGCCACCAGTGTCCAGCTTCATGCCGACCACAGAGCTAACCTTCCTGCTAGATTTTACATGTACATATAAAGTGTCGCAAAGCATAATTTAATTTCATGTATGAGACTAATTTAGTTACATTCTGACTGTTAAAGCATCTGTCCCAAGCCAAGCATCAGTCTTTGAATAAATATGAAACTGTTTTTCATGGCTTGAGGGTAGCCCAAGGATAAAGCATTAACAGCCCCAAACAAGAGGCAAAGTACTTGAGGTAGGTTCTCAAGGCCCTCCATTAAATACCTCCTTCAAAAAGAATGTTAGTAGACTCTGGTTTGAGGTGGAGAGGATTTGAAGAAATGGGCACTGCTTCATCAGAGACAGTCAGCACTCCCAACAGACTTTCCTCACTCGCACAATCCTGTTTTAAAGCAAAAAAAAAAAAAAGATTAGTTATTAGAAAACTGTTCCCTTTTTGAATAAAAAAAACTCCTCCCTGTCTTTACACCAGGTGGAAATCCTGAAGTGCTTTATAAAAATTAAAAGAAAAAGAAAGAGAAAGAGTATACAATCAGCATTAATCTCTCAATTTAAGTCTTGGTAAAATCTCCATATCAAAAGGAAATTTTTCCCACTACTATGTGGGTTCCCTTAAGATGCATCTATAAAAAAGGTTATTATCACAGTGAGGTTTTACAGTACAAGGCTGCACATTCTTGTCACATCTGATCTGAACTGAATACTGGACAAACAGAGTACGCCATTATTAAAAACATTCAAAAGTCATTAAACAAGTATTTATAAAGACAATAAAAATAACACCATATCTGGCAGTACAGACAACACTTACTGACTGGAGAAGGAAAAATCCCCGTTTTTTTAACTATCTATCTAGCTCAGTAAGATGGCCATGAACGTCTGCATGCTCAGTGAATACGTCAGGCAGCAGAAACCCAAGAAAGAGAAGGAACCATCATGGAGGGACAGGCCCCTGCATGGTATGTACCACCGGCAGATAGATGAAGTGGCTGACATCCAGAAATCCTACCAGTCCAAAGCTGGACTGAAAGACAGCACAGAGGCACTAATCATGGCAGCACAGTAACAAGCTCTGAGCACAAGATCCATAGAGTCTGGGATTTACCACACCAGGCAAGATTTCCAGATACAGACGGATAGGCTAACCAACCTGACATAGTGGTGGTGGACAAACAGAGGAAGACGGAACAGTGATAGACGTAGTGATACTGAATAACAGCAATATCAGGAAGAAGAAACACAGGAAGCTGGAGAAGTACCAAGGGCTCAGTGAAGAGCTCGAGAAGATGTGGAGGGTGAAGGTAACAGTGGTCCCAGTAGTAACTGGAGCGCTCAGTGCAGTGACCCCCAAGCTAGGTGAGTGGCTCTAGCAGACCCCAGGAACAACATCTGAGATCTCTGTCCAGAAAAGCACAGTCCTAGGAACAGCAAAGATACTGCGCAGGGCCCTCAAGCTCCCAGGCCTCTGGTAGAGGACCCAAGCTGGAAGGATAAAGACTGCCCACAGGGGCGAGAGAGAAATTTCTTTTATATATCGTTAGCTTCATAGCATAAGTGCCTAAGTCATTGACTTAGTCAAATGACTTAGGCAATTATGCTATGAAGCTAACGATATGCACTTTGATGGTCTTGACTTACTGTATGCTACACAGATAAAGCCACATACACTGGATTTGCAGTGACCTGGTGACCAGAAATAAGGCAAACCGAATGAT